TAGCAAAACGCTGGTGAAACGCTGGCGTAACGCTAGCGTTACGCTGGTGACGCTGGGAACGCTAGATCGATATGCATCCTCTCCCCGGCACTGCCGCTGGCGTACGCTGGAAGCGCTACGCTACGCTGCCGCAAAGTATAAACGCAGCCTAAGGGGTGTCGACGCACGTCATCGCAGAGTCTAAACGCTGAATCAGGAGACGTATTAGCTGATTGCCTCCGCCCACACGTCAGTATGCACTGTACCTCCAATAAATTGAAAGGTAGAGCATTACTAACAATTTTTTTCGAACTTTCAAATTTACAAGAAACTAGCCAAGGCACATTACAAATACACCAGTACTGCTAGATGGAATATTTTTCAGCACAGTGTTACTGCTATTAATCTGGCTCTTCTTCTTGAGCTGCTCATTATAATGACTTTGCTCACTACGATTTCCATTTATTCAGCTATAAAAATTGAGGCAGCCCTCAAAAAAGGAACAATCAGTAATACCCTTCGAAAACAGCATCGGCAAATATTTACATTACTGCTTTTTCAGGTATGTTGAATACTACCTACTGCTATCAACTGGTAGGATTTGAAGGGTTCACTGCGTGTTTGGTTGTTTATGGGGGAAGAGCAGACCCACAGCTGCAGAAGGGGGGGGGGGGATCGACCACGCCTTGTAGCAGATGGAGGCGAAACTTGTTCACGTCTTCTCCCTTTTGACTGGGCACCATTGCTTTAGACACTTCTTTGACTGCGTACTTGAGCAGGGGGTATAGCCAATTGATATGCAAAATAGCGTTGTCAGTGCAACTCCCTCCTCTCACGAAATTTCATCTTCTGGTACGATACTGCACATCGTACCGATCATCTTCCTGAAATTCCTCCATTTTCTACCATTCTCTACCTCTTCTTCGATCTCCCAAAAAAAACCGTGCTGGGGTGAGAAATGCCTTCAGTAGTTTCCCTACTAATTTTGACCATCAAAAACAACCAAAACTGTTCTAATTTTGACCATCAAAAACAACCAAAACTGTTTTTACATTTCTGCAGCCGAAGGAAAAATCAAAGTCAGAATTTCGAAAAAATTTCTTTTGGCTAGTAAATAGTAAAGCAAACAATCCCTCTCGAAGAATGCTTTTTTAGACCAGATATGAGCCCCCTCCGCAGCGAACACCTCTCCCTACCTGATGGGATTCTCCCAGCGGTGCTGTTCCCTGCTTGGGTAGCCTGTATACACGTTCGCTACGGGACTTAGAGCAACGCTGAGATATGTCTCAGGTCCCGCAGCGAAGTGCCTCTGAATTGAACGTTCAGCCTGGTTTATGAGCTGAAAAGAGGATTCTTCTCACGGACATTGTTCTCGTACCCGGATGTTATACACACTTCGTGTCGAGTTTTCTGTAGGCCATCTTCCCGTAAACTGTAGCGTTCTGGAATTCATTTTTTCATTTTTTCAGGCCGCATGTCCAATCGTGTTCCTCCATGGACCATGCAGCGTAACGCTCATGTTCCTGTTTCTAGGTTTCACATCCACCACATTCTTACCATGGATGACTACTATTCTACTCCCGATGTTTCCGTTATTTAGTCCAATGATCATTATTGCGTTTGTCAAGAATTATCGCGTCTATACTCTTTCAGTGCTACGAATTAGAAGAAAAAACACACAAAGGGTGGTCAAGGCTGTTTCGGAACTGAAAAGAGTAACAGCTAGCGCTCACGCGGCGTCTTAAAAATACTAGCCTGATTATATCGGGTAGGAAGAGTAATTCCAAGTAGCAGCATCGCTACCACAACCAGCGTGTGCTCCTAGTTGACCAGACAGAAGAGAGCTAAGCTACTCGACCTGAGATAGTCGGCTAGAACCAAGAGTGAGCTGACGCTCCGCAGCACGGGACTGAGTTCTGATGTGAATGCTGTGATCGCAATCACGCTTGCAAGGCTTTTTTGGCCGCATTGACCGCTACTGAGAAGCTCCTCACTCGATGATACTATTCGTGTTCTGCAACGCCGTTAGGCTTCATTAAAAAGACTTTCACAGAGCTCTACGGGATTCGCCTGAGTACCCCACAAAGTACCCCACAGTACCAACAAGTACCCCACATCTTCACTACCAGGTTCATCTCCTTCTTGTTTTCATATCATTGCCAGTTTCTATGCTGAAGCCGTCAAATGCACGATATGAATGAATATGCAGAATAGAATCGAAAATAGAAAGGCAGGGCAGCGCAATGAAAATAGCCCTTCCAGGCATTTCTTATCTTCATACAGAATTAAATTAGATGTTATAAATGGCATGTCGACGCGAATCCAAGGCCGTGCCGAATTACCGAGCGAATCGGCTGGCGTAATTTTGGTAGTGAAATGAGATGGGAATGAGAATAAGGGGTGAAGAATGAAGCCATCACTGCACTTTTTGACTTGTTTTTAAACACGGCGCTTCAAGACACTTCCGCGATAAAATGGTCCTCGAAATAACTCCTTGCCTTTGGAACCTGTTACACGCCTTCACGGAGAACGTACCACATTCGTCCCTCAAAAGGGCGAGATAAAAAAAGTTAGAGACACGAAGCGGTTGCAGAGTGCAACATCATACTGTAGCTTGTTACGACGAACAACGGCTCAGCAAGTTCCTACAAAGTCCGCGCAGCACGTTGTCGCACGCGGCGCTTCTGGCACTTTGCGTTCACTGATTTTTGGCACTCTGATTTTCTGGCTTTGCAGTGAATCTCAGTGATAAGGATCATGAGCCAGGAGGATAAGAATTTTTGTAACTTTAAGAGGGAAAAAGGTAGGTGACCAAACTACACAAAGGATTTATCTCATCCATTCCTGATTTACTCCAAAATATGCGATCAAACAGGAAGCCTCACACACTTATCATGTCGAAGCTCGACCATGTCCGCACAGTACTCGTCCAAGGCGCCACCTTCACTGCTGAGGGAGGTCTGTGTTCAGGGTGTTCCCGAGAGTTATTCGCTTCTTGTTCTACTGGAGAGCTACTTATAGGCCGCTAGTTCATGACCGAGCACCAACTGTCGTAACATTTGATTGCGGGAATTGTCTTCGAATCATTCGACGTTGACAGTAATCGAAACGGTTCCAACTAGATGGCACAATTCCCTCACAACATTAAAGTGGAAATCATTTCCCATCGCCATTTCGATGGCTTATTGCCAAAAGTTCTGTCATCCATGAATAACATGCATGAGAGCAAAAAAGCAAAACTTGCCAAAGTGCGCAACAATACGCAAAGGTTCATGGGGGTATGTAAGTGCAGAGGATGCAGAGAGCGTTATGTAGCAATTTAAGAGGACGGCTTCCTAGGGGCAGGGCAGGAGATAGGGAAAGGGGGCGGTGAGTATATATAGTAGCGCTCAAAGTATTCGCCACAGCTATCTTAGCCCAAACCTTTTCTCTCCAACTATATTCATGTTCTATTTTGATGTGTATACAGGCCACCAATCGGATCACCCGGCTGCCGCCGGGTGCTCCTACTTCTATTTCACAGCCCGGCTTCGCCGGGCCCACCTCGCTTCGCCTAGGCACTCTTCCGTTGGGCGGGGTAGGATGCGCTAAATGTGCAAAATGATGACAGCAATTTTTCTATTGAATGCAGGAAAATGAGTTGAAAATAGCTCAACATCAGTCACTATCTACCAACAACTGGTCCCCCTTGCTTACTACAGACTTTCAACGGTGAGAAAGCTGCACCATATTATAGAGGACCGCAGTTGCGACAACAGAATGGGTAAAGGTGAATTAGTCCGGATGAGCTCTTAATAACCGGAAGAGGCATAACTGCAGAGTAATGGGTGGCACTGAAAAGGAGAACTCCACATTGCTTGTACATATAAAAGTTTGTGTCGCACGGACACGGAGAGCTCGAATGACCACCGATGGGACGCTCCCACTCCCAATTGTTGGGTTCCCTCCTTATTTTGTTTCAATTACGACGCCACCTCCTAACACACATAACACACATCACATAGCAGGCAACTTTGCGAAAATTTTTTTGATTGGTGAATTTCTCAATTTTCCCGTTTCAGCCGCACTATATACCCCCCCCCCCCCCCCTCTCCCGCTCGACACCACTGCATGCATCTAAAAGGAAACACTTTCATTGGAAACCTTGATTCTGTTGCCATCAAAGGAAAGGGTTCACCCACTGAGCCCCTAATACTCGGCATTAAAGCGGTAAGAATTGGTAAAAATGTAGCGCAGATGGTATCTTATCTGTTTATCGATTGATAAGATTACCTGTCACCCGTCGTCAATGTCCTCACATCACTAAATCTCTATGATTTGGCAGCGTGAACCACCTTGAACAGCGACGACGATTGCAACTTCACTTATCAGTCTCTATCAGTAGTTGTCGCTTCCGGTCACCCAGATTCATGTCCTGATGTCAGCCTCCATATCCACTTGCAGAGACGTACGCCTCGCTGATGCTGTGACCTGCGCTGTGAATACGATGAACCTCGCCCATTCTAACACTCCTTATCGAATCTTATCAGTCGACTTACAATTATTGTCCCACAATAATTTTTCTTAGGCCATTAACCCCTTTTTACCATATCTTGGAATCAAGAGCTAGCTGATGCTGTCACCCGCGTTATGAATATGGTAACCTCCGTCTTCTAACGCCTCTTATCGGATCTTATCAACTGATATCACGTCCTGTCACCCACCAATAGTGTTCCCGTCACACCCCCTACATCAGTCCTTGGAACCAATGTCTCACTGCTACTGAGACCGGCGCTATGAATTTCGTGACAAACAGGCAGACCTACACACACACACACACGCCGAATATCAGATTATATAAAGAGGATACTGTTGTGTCAAGGTATTCATTGGTACATGTAAAGGAAGAATAAATGTAACGTGTATTTTTAAACCATATGTGTTTTTGTTTACGTAATAAACAAATTCAGCTAGACATTTGTGAGTTCTTTTGGCGTCCATGCCCTCTACAATCTGAAATAATATTCGGAGTGGGCATCCTGTGAACCAGTCAATGTTCTTCTGGTACGAATTTGCAGTACTCGGAGGGTAGCAACCTTGGTTGAGTAGAGCGGGAGCAGATCCGGATTTTAAGCTTCGCATCACGCCTATCACTGCACCGCTTCCGCTAGGTAAGAGAATTATCATGCAAGAAGTCATAACTGAATTTTGAAGCCAACGAATTCCGATCGCAGAGTGAGCCTTCAAATAGGGGGACGTTCCGAACCACTCGCTCAAAGGCCGTTTCTCACACTTAACTCTCCGAATGACGATCTTTGGGTCTCCGTTCCCCTGCAAACATGAAATTTCTTCGTAGCAGCAGTCGAAATCTGTAATTAGGTGATACAACACGAGCTTGTTTTTCATAAAGCGCACCAGTAAAAGCTGGAGAACGCTACTTACCTCAAAGAAGAAAACACAGTGTCACAATAATTGTAGCTCATTTTCTACAGATTACTATGCTTTTATACAAATACAACTGTCAATAACACCGTGTTTTTCAGTCTAGAGCCCTAAATGCCTTTTGAAGCCTCCATTTTTTGGTGCACAATCTCGCGTTTGTTCTACTCTTTTATTTTGCAAAGTAAGCCTGAATTTTGTCCCAAAGTAGCTAGAACTTCAGGGACAAATGTACCCGCCATGGCTCCAGGAATAACGGGTAGTACGCAGTGGTCGCCCATCACATCAAATTCGCGGAGCTCAATGCAGCTGTCCTCCTCCCTCTAAACTTCCATACTCTACCCAGTCTGCTATTTCTTTTCTTCTCTTTCCAACTTCATGTTCCTTGGTAGAGTGACACTGGTAGGACTGATATCCATTACTTTCTAGTCACTTCGAGGCCCCTGATGTTTGCTGGCGGACGTATGGGGAAGCTGGTAGACGGTGGTAGATGCTAAATCGATATTCATGCTTTTTGATCGTCGAGCGCTGATGATCGCTGCCGTCAGCGGCTCGAGGATCCAGAAAGCGAACGCTGATGAACGCTGATAGACGCTGCCAGTTGCTAGACCGATGTCTAATCTTCCTAGTTAAAGGCGCTTAAGACGCTCGAAACGCTGATGGTCGCTGCCGTATCGTGTGAGGCAACAAACTATCTCGTCTCTGTTTCGGCTTAGAAGGGTCGTTTAAGCCCTTCTGCTCAGTTCAAAGATGTGTGTTATCGCATAGCTGTACAAGATTTTTAGGTATTCACGTCAACGATGACTGATGGAACCATCTATTTGTCCCTCCAAGCCAAGCTGCGCCTCTGTTTCTCTCTAACTTCTTCGACAAACCCAACTCGCCCCCCCCCCCTTCCTAGCACAAATGAAAACCCACAGCTCATGGCTTGCGGACGACGAGTACTTTGTCCATTAGCTATCAGAGCAGTCTCTTTCTCCCTCAGCTCTCTGGGTTTTGTGCCATAGCCTTGCACCACTCAATACGTTCAACTTGATGAGACCACTAGCCGTTATTATGTGGGCCAGTGAGCGGCGAAGTTAAAGGTCTCACTCCTTATAAGCTTTTTTTTTTTTTGTCACGTGGACATGTCCGGAAACCAAACTTGCTGGTCCACGGGAAGAAGAGATGGTGGGCTTGGAT